ATTTTTGGAGCACTTCAAACTTACCATACTTCACATGAGTGTTTATTAGTCTGCAGTTAGTTTCCCTGTGTGTGCTTCCTCATTGCAGCAGGTGCTGGCGACTCACGCCACCTGTTGATCAGAGGAATAGTTTGAAATATATCTTGCACAAGCAGTTTCATGCACAGAAGTTAAATGGGGACCCAGTCATAGAAAAACATTTCAATAGTACTGTAAGCAAGCTGATGATCGAGATCTTTGTTGTTAATTTATTAGAACTCAAATTTGATGACAGTCAGTGGCTGAATTCTCAAGCTTCATGACTACTCACAAGAGCAACTAACTCCTCTCTGGTGAAGACAGAATATTCAAACATTAAATCAAAAGTCCTCTCTGATACATTTATGTCAGTGAGTTCTCCTTGTACTTGGTAAACTGTCAAGTGTTTAAAAAGGTACAAGCTGTGTTGAACATTGTTCCCAGTGTCAGGCTGATATGAAAACCACAAGTGCCAATGATGGTGGCTTATAGATAAACATATTCAGTAAAAGTATCTTCATAGATGTAGACACAAGTCTCAGACTGTGTGTTTGTTTGTAAGAGCTACAGTGTGTGTGTGTGTTTAAGAACACAGACGGAGTAGGAAGCAGAATAGCAGAGGTACGTTCATCTTTTCCTAACAAGCTGTGAGAGCTGTTAACACAGCACTGACATCTAGAGGGAGACTGCCAGCTCGTTCTGTCTTTGTGTAGACAAAGAGAGACACAAACACACAAAGGAAAGGAGCTAGACAGAGAAACAGATAGAGAGAGAGAGCGAGAGAGAAGTGAGAAGAGAAAGGCAGAGATTATTGACACAGACAGGAAGGTTGCACAAGATAAAAACACAAAAACAAGTTAGAGAGAGGTAAAAACATGCATTGAATTTGTCAGATAAAAAAACAGCAACACACCGAGCGGAAGGAAGGAAGGAGGAGAGGAGTATTGCTTCCCTGAGCGATTTCACAGGCAGGAGTATTGAGCAGGGATTTGTCCTCAGAGACGAGGTTAACACTCAATTCACCAACAGTCGTCAGGTGGGCTGGAACCAGAGATGCCCTTCAAGCTGTTCCAAAACGGAGACGCACACTTTCTGATAAACACGTGTTTTAACTGTTTATTCACTTGGTCTCAAACACTTTTTATCAGTTATATGCAGCTGTTTATTTTGTTTATTTTTCAAGGACTGGATCATTGCTCCTGAAGGTTACGCAGCCAACTACTGTGATGGAGAGTGCTCTTTCCCTCTTAATGCCCACATGAACGCCACCAACCACGCCATTGTACAGACACTGGTAAGACCTATCCACTCATTACACTATTAACATTAATTATACATTTTATCACCCCTCCCTTCCAGAAATGAACATAGATAGGCATGCATATAGATTTAAAAGATGTTTAACTCTGTTTAAAGAACTGTTTTGTAATCGTTTGGAAATGCTTTTGAGAGACGACTACAATTTTCTGATTAAACAAATGCTCAATTTTGTTCCTCATATCTAATTTCATTGCTCAGTATTAATCACTTGCATATGGCTGGACTTGGTTTTGTCATCAGGGCCCTCTAAGAAAGTCCCGTAGCTCCTATTAGTTTAAAAAGACTACTTTCACTTGTATTTGATAAAGTGTTCTGGTGTCTGTATTTAAGCAAACATAGTACATTTTGAATATGTGGATGGTCATTTTGTAGTACGAGAAATCAGTTATTGGTCTCAAGATCGGTCTCGACACCACAAGGTCTCGGTCTCATCACAGAATCGAAGGCATTTTTACTCAGTCTCGTCTCGGTCTCAGACTGGCGGACTCCGGATTTCAAATCAAGACCAGTCAAGACCACCACTGACAGGCTATTTCTCCACATCATTACTGTGATAAGAAAGAAAACTCCCCCTTTCTAAAAGATCAAATCATTTCAATTCATTCATCATTTGATATTTATCCCCCGGTTACAGCCTCAACCCTTCTGCTGTTACGCTCTAAGTGAGTGACATGCCTGCTGCACACAAGATGATGATTTTTCAGTGATATTTATGGTCTTGGTCTTGTCTCGTTCTCGGAGCGATCTAGTCTCGACTATGTCTTGGTCTCGGTTACTGTCCTCTTGACTACAACACTAGTGGATGCTGATGTTTTGGTGGGAATGGTGGTGTACTCTGTTGCAGAAAGATACTCAATGTATTTCCTTTTCTTCTCAGGTGCACCTGATGAACCCTGAGAATGTACCGAAGCCTTGCTGCGCCCCCACCAAGCTCCACGCCATCTCAGTGCTCTACTTTGACGACAACTCCAACGTCATTCTTAAGAAATACAAGAACATGGTGGTACGGGCCTGCGGCTGCCACTGACACGGACATCAAGGGCTGATAATGCTCGACTGAAAGTTGGGTTGGCAAAGGGCTTCAACTGCACCAGTGACTCATGGGAGATGTTGACTCCACTAGACACAATCCTCAGCCTGCAAGGAATGTCCATCCTGGGAGCTCACCAACTTGTTCTTATTCTGTCCAACAACATGAAAATTATTCTTCTTACAACTTGCAGGGGCCATTGCAAACACAACACCCGATGGATGTCTTTCATAGGCAACAACCACCAGGTTGATGAGTGGCTTTGGATTGGAATCTTCATTTCATAGATCTGTAACCGAGCGAGTGACTGTGTGTGTGTTTCAGGTTGTGTATTATGTGTGGAAGTGTGTATGCACTGCACCCTCTTCCTCTCTGAGAGAGTGTGTGCAGAGCTGAACTTGTGGGACCAGTCCAAGCGCTGCTTTCTTTCCCCTTTCCTCTCTGGCAATAAATGTGGTGGATGAGTTCTCTGAAGAGGATGAGACATCTCCACACAACTTCTCTACCATGCTTGACCCTGGAAGGTTAACTCAGCGGTATCACAGCACTGAAGTCAACTGTAGCCAACAGCAGACTACAGAAACTGACAGAAAATGTCCAAAATGTTTTTTTACGCGACATGCAAAACACAAACCCAGCATTCTTTTTAGTGCAAATGTTAAATGAAGCAATCTAATCGAAAAGGACTGATATATGTGAGACTAGAGATTTACACTTCATGACTTTTTTCCTCATGTATTTTCTTCTCAAGCCATATTTGCCTTCCTAAAATATAATATGGACTGAACCAAAGTGACCACAGGTTATTTTAGTAGCGCTCCAAATATCACCTCCGTGTCAATATTTGCTAGGCTCATGCTGAGCTGCGATTCACCAGGATGGTTCAACATGATGCATGTTGTGGCTGAACTGATGTTTTCCTCCAAAGAAGTGAAGAATACAGCCTTATCCCCCGGACATACCGCTAATGGCCCTTTCCATGTTGCTGCACTCGCAAAGTTAACAAACGCTTCCACCCCTGACAACCCATCAACAGATTGTGGAAAAACATTACGCGAGTCAAAAACAGCCAGAAGAGCAGTTTCTGCGCCAGCGTTCTGAAATGAGCTCTTTTTGCTTATTCAAGAAAATGGATGTTGAGATTTGTGTCCAGTGGCGACGTCTTTCCAATTGAACATGTTACTGTGAGCTTTGAACGACATGTGTTTTTTAGAGACTATATTCTTATGAAAAAGTAATACCAACAAGAATCAAAATACCTTTCTGTGCCTAACCAATCATAAATTACAAAATATACCTCTGGTAAGCTGCTGTTTACATTTGTGATCATGTTAAGACTGTTGTTTTGTAAATACTTGTACATTCTCAGCTTATTTATTGCACCTTTTATTAAAAAAAAAAAACGTTAAATCACATACCTTATTAACAGAGACAGATGCAAGAACAAAATGAAACTTATTTTTGAAAAATGTTTTATTATGAAATCTCATGTTACAATTTGCCATTATTCCTTCTTTTTGTACAAAATGCATGGGTAGTGCACAGCCCATGTCTAACAAGGAAAAAACAGGAAAGTAATACTTCTGTCACTGGAGTTCCTTAGACCATGTGCTATCCATAAAAACTTTTACTGACAAAAAATGCTGTGTCTCTGTTTATGTTCCTCGGTGTGACTATAGATGGTGCCCCCACATGATGAAGCACTCTGACATAACCGGGGTCAGAGGTCATTTGCCTTTGAAAGGGCCTGGCCTAGCAAGTGGATGAGGTAACAGTCAGACACAGATACGTAAGCTGAACAGAACAAAGACTGAAAATAAAATCATGAACAGTATGCAGTGTAGAACATCTTCTTGGCTTTTGACTGTTAGATTTGTACACAATGTAGCATACAAAACATTTCTGTTATAATTCATCTCACTAGTGGTCACAGTAGTTTGGGGAAACACAAAAGACAGGTTACGTTTGGATATATTTGGTAAATAGTGATACTTCTTCCTGCTCATTCTACTGATAAAGTGAGACGCTGAACCCTCACATCACCGAGTTGTAACCTTTCATAGGTACATGTAGAAGTATTTGATGGGCTAAGGGAAAGCAAATGATAGAACCCCAACAGAGAGTTGATATATCTATCCATTCTGACCCTGAGCTGTTTAGTTTTAGCCTCCTAAGTCATAGAAAAATGTCCAACCACAGAGGAGAGGCTCTTAAAGTTCAGATGAAACCTACCCTTCATCAAAAAGATAACAAGTGAATGGGCTCGATTTCTTTTGTACAAGATCCTAAACTTACACTTCTTTGTTACACCGTTAACAACTCTTCTCCACTTTGTAGTTCTACAACCCTGTAAAGAGGGACCTGACCTGTAAAATGTAGCACACATACATATTTTAAAAGAATATCTTAAAGGTCCAGATTAAAAAACAAAACACTTTCCACACGGCTATATTGGATGAGCTGGGTCTAAGAGTTGTTTCTGAATAAAACTGAACCAGTTAAAGAGAAGAAGTAACTCCTAAGTTGTCCAGAAAGAGAGAGATGGGGCACACAGTCCACGCCTAGGACCCTGAATATTATAAAGATGGTTGATTGTGAAACCCAGGAGTCAGAAAATGGATAAGACACACAATTGTGATGTTTAGTTTTTTTTTTATTTCAAAAAAGCTGAAAATCTTCTTCATCAAGAGAAAATAGTCGTGTCCACTTTCAGACTCCTGTGATGACAATGATCTGGGAGGGCAATTCCCTGAGAGTTAAGTCAGACAGACTGTTGCTGACATGGATAAAAAGTACCCTCAACTTAACACTCACATTTGGCTCACAAAATCACAGTACCGAAACACAAATGGCTTACGATTAAACAACAGATCCCATGTAAAAAATATAGAGTTTAAAAGGAGTGAAATGGCTACAGAAGTTCATCAGAAACAAATCATTGTTAACAGCAGACGCTGTCCTCTAATGTCAACCCTTTTAATAAGAAACACAAGTGTGAGGAATTCCAGATCTGATTGTTTTAGCAGTGCTTTCAAAGTGGTTGTCAGACATATCACTTCATTTACAGATCCAAACAAAAGCCTGGGTTGCTCAACTGCATAAGAAATACATTCCCATCCAAAACCTTCTACTGAACCATTTTGTCCTTAAACACCAGAGAAAGATCAGACTGCAGCAGTCTGTCACTGGCTCCTTCGTGAAGAGAACCCGAGTGGAGAGATATAGAGAGAGGTTTGGCTACTGTAGGAGAGAGAGTGGGGTCCTACTGGCCAGTTGCGCAGTGTGGGCGAACAAAGTGGTGGAGATTCGAGCCGTGTTTTTGACCACTTCTACAGCTCGTCTCTGGCCTGCTTCATCACAAAGCCGTGCAGACTCTCCAGGTCCCGTCCTCCATGATGCTCGTCACCCTGCACCCCGGCCCTGAAGATGATCAAGGTTGGGTAGCCTCGAACCTGAAGAACAGAATACAACACAAAACCAGTAAGTAATCCTCAAAACCAATGATTCTACATGCTTTCCTGCAAAGAGTAAATGTTCAATAGTAAACATTATAAAGTGATGAAAACCGGCCTCGTCTTAGTATTCTGAGAATGTCTTACATAACTGGGAACTTTTCAGCTCTCTCTGGCTCAGAGTCCTACCCCCCTAAACCTAACCAATATTCAGGAGATTTTCTCTCAAGTTGCTTACTTTGATGCAGGGGAGGACACAGAGCTGGCTTTCTGCAGGACAGGCTGATGCCAAACACAGGTGCTTGTGCTAGCATCTGGTAGCTTGCAGTGGAGGTACGAGCAATAAAACTTAAAAGTCCTGCAGTGAGTGTGTGCTTCAGCTGCCTCGCAAATATCTACTGACTCCATCTATAAGGAATCTACTCAGCCTGACACTTTAGCAAGTCAACACACTGTTTCATTTTATGTCCAATAACTCAAGTTAGCCGACACAATTTAAACAAAGACAAAATTACAAAAGAAAATTCTTCACTTCATGAACATTTATTATGAGTAACTCAGGTAGTTTAAGATCTAAAAATGAGATGGACTCAAAAAACAGCTCTTTGTGATGCTTATAGTTTGCCGTTTTTATTTACACTTACCAAAATTTCCAGTTTTCATATAAAACCAGCTTTTATTTTGAAAAACTGCAAAGGGGTTACGGGAGTGAATAAAAACAGCTACAAGAACGACGAAGAGGTAAAAATGTTTGATGTCTCAGACATTTACGACTCTTATTCCACATCCCAAAACAACATCAATCTTAAAAACATCAGTTTTAGTGACTCCCCATCTTTCAGAAGGATGCTACATGTGTTTGTTACCTCTGAGCTCTAACTCAGCCACTGATAAGAGACAGGATTGTTTTCTGAATGTACCTAACTTCACCGTGCTTCAACTGTTAACTCGTCTCTGGCCTGTTGAGTCGGTTGAACCGATATGACTGAACTGCCACTCAATAAGTCTGACTCGACTGATAGGTCTTCATCAATGACTCCCTCAGTTTAAAGTTGGGGGGGGGGGGGGGGGGGGGGTTAAATTAAGTTTCATTAAAGGTGTGGGTGTTGCAACATCCACAGGTGCGACTTGCCTTCTTTGATGGACTCTCTTTCTAAAGAGATACACTGACAGTAGACGTTTCAGATAATCATACGTTAGACAACAGATGAGGCCCATTTGATTACTTCATCGTTGATAATTGGAGGCTAGTTTGAACCAAAATGAGAAAGAAGTCAAAAAGAACACCTTCATTATTAAATACTTGTATCATTACATAATGACCTGGGCTTCTCCTATTAGAATTGTCCACATCACATCCAAGCTGTGCGTGTCTGTGCTAACATTCTTACGCCCCTTTGTTGACTGGTCTTTAGGAATACAGTCTGTAACATCTATATGACAGTCGTATTCTTATATGACTCTGAGATAAAACCACCATCATTGTTTTATTACATTCTGCACATCACACTTAATCCTGAAGAAATCACAGAGCTGACAGAAGAGTGTGTGAGACAAACACCCAGATACTTACAGAGTACTTGTTGCAGAGTGTGCGCTCAACAGTGCAGTCCACTTTGGCGATCTTGACATCAGTGAGGCCGGGAAACTCCTTCTTAGAGAGGTCGTCCCATGTCGGAACGAGGTTTTTACAGTGTCCACACCTACAGTTTACAGCAGGAAAGCACAGGAGTGACATCATTTAGACTGACAGGGAAATTACAGGGAAAGAGTAACGTCAGTGTTCGACCAAAGCACACGTATACATGTATACAGTATTACTGAGTGTTTCTTTAAAAACACTTCTGAAGTTCATAAAGAAGTGTACTAAAGTTGTTTCAGTGAAGTTATTCATCATTAATAATACGTGATGTGCTTCTTCTTCCATTAATTAAACAACTGACATCGTGTCTTAACAGCACGCGAGCGTTAGATACTGCACCCGTTAAATATTAAATTCTCTGCTCTGTGAATTTCAGTTTCCCGTTGCCAACCACATGACATTTACAGCTTTTGTTTTGAATGTGGACAAACGGATGTGTGGTGTTTTGTAATGACAAGCTGTTGAGTCAAATCACAATGCTCAAAGGATCGTCAATAAACAGCTCGCGGTGAGCTGAAGAAAGTTTTTCTCTGGTGTTGTTGACTCAAGTCAAAGCACAACATCTCAATCATGGATGTGGATATTATTAATGCACTGTTATCTCCACTTTGTACAATAAGCTAAAAATATGTGTTGAGTGACAAAAGCCAGTGTCAGTTCTTTGTAGAGACCCCTCCTTTCTCGTTCTTCGTCCGACTATGCGAATGGCAGAGTAGAAAATAGAAACGGGGTCGGTGTTAAAACGGCACATCACGCTGTTTCATGCTGCGTCGCTTGAAGGCGGTTAGGACACTTCGATGGGAAACAACAGAACCAGGATGATTTTGCCGCTGACACTCACTCATGTCGCGTGTTGTTAGGACAGGCTGCAGCAGTAAAGTCATACACAGTAATAAAACAATTGGTGCTAGAGCTGATCTTGGAAGAGAAAGGTGGGAATAAAAAACAGCTGTTTTTTCACGTGTGATATTAAATCTTCTTGATTAAAAAAATGACTATCTTACCATGGAGCGTAGAACTTGATAAAGGTAAAGCCTTTAGCTACGGCTGCATCAAAGTTGCTTTCTGTCAGGGTCAACACACTCGACTGTAGAGAGGAGAGAAACACTGACATTAGACTGAGCTGAGGATCCTTAAGAGGAGCTGGTACATGAAGAATATTTACTTTTCATTTAATGTCCTGTTAGCTGAGAGTTTCCATGCATTGAAATCTTTTCGGTCCCCATCATGCCTACATTATGTCTTATAACATAAGTAACATTTTGTGTAGTCAGAGCAGGGCACCCAAGTCCCCCCTAATGCTTCACTATTTTTATATATTGTTAAGGATGACTTCATCATCAACATCATCATCAACAACATGCCCCTCCAAAAATGTTTGCATCAGCAGGACAAACTAGCTACCAATAATTGCTAGGCTGAGAGACGCATACTTGAGTTGGTGCCAAGCTAAGAGATAATGATGTGCAATTATGGATGGCCGCTGAATGTTTGTTCTGATCTAATGAAATAAAGGTGGTGGTGCTGAAGGGATTGTCGATCACACCGTCACTGCTGCTCATGCAAATCAGATTCCAACTAGAAGCAGTCACAAACATCAGGGCTGTGACACTTTTGTAGTTTGGTTGGATAATAGTAATTAATAAGGTATCATTACATCATTGTTAAAACCTTGTTCCAGACAGACCAGTTACACAAGTTTGCAGCTTAAAGCCTTTCTTTTACCTGGCAGCAGCAAAACTTCAACATATTGGAGAAACTGTAGAAAAGTTTTCACCTCCAGATAACAGTCTGAAAGCCATCACTTCAACCATCCTTTAAGATCTCTTTTAGCATGTTGCTACGAGCTGTTCCCTTTTACACCGGCCAATAGGTCGAAACAGGGAGATTACCTCTTCTTTGGCTGGCTCTTCAGTGGGGATCTCATTGGGTTTTTGTTCATCGCTCGGTTCCTCCTCCTCAGTGGCTGCAGCCTTCACCTGGTTGTCCACAAAGTCTTTGAAAGAGTCCAGGTCTCGTTTTCCTTTGTACTGTTCAGTCTACAAAAGGCACACGCATGACAAAAGGTTGCTGCCTGGGCCATACTTTTTGAATAAAATTGGCAACTCTGACAGTCAACACAGAGTGCCGATACAGATCATTAAAAATGTGGAGTGGTATGAAAATGTCTGCATTACCTTCTGTCCATTGTTGAAGAAGAGGAGTGTGGGATATCCCCGTACGCCATTATCAGAGCACACCTCATAGTGCTGTGTACAGTCAACCTACATTGTGGGAAATCAACTTGTTAATAAACAAAAATGAAACTTCAATGCAAACTCTGACCATGCAAATTTGCTTTAGAGGTTTGTTTAATAACCTAGTAGGCAAATAGGTAGCTAGCTCCTCCCATGACCGACATCCTGTTCTTCCAAACAGGGAACAGGATGACCGTCCTGGTACTTTAAAGTAATGTACAGTTAAGATTCAGTTTGGGCCTTTAATGTGTGTCACAGTGTTGGAAATAAACAGGAAAGCCCACACTGTGGTAATAACAGAAACACTGTAGTTGTTTTATTATTATTTCTATTCCTATAATATCTCATTAACTATCAAGAAGTACTTAAATCATGAACCTGATGAAACCCACCTTTCCTATCTTGACATCATCAGAGTGCTCAAAGGTGGTGGCCAGCTGTTCCCAGGTTGGGGCCATGGCTTTGCAGTGACCGCACCATGGGGCAAAGAATTTAATAAAATGGGCCCCTGAAAGCAAGAGCAAGAAAGTAATATTAGAAAAGGAAAGCGCAGATAACTAGCATTACTATTAAACACAAAGAGGAAAGAAAAAGAACAAAACAATCAATAAGCATGAAGGAGATCGAACTCAAAGCCTTGGAGTGTAAACCAATTTCTTTACGGACGTCTCGAGCACAAGATTCAGTACCAAAGTGATGTTGCTGTTTCTGATTTTATGGAGCAAAGTTGATTCCACTGCATACTTGGCATGTTAGGTCATAAAGAGAATATGCACCTCTAATACAGAGGTAGTATGTAATTACTCAATGTTTGCTGCAGCTGTGTTGCCAAGGTATAAAGGTGGGACTTTTAAAAGAAAGCCTATGTCATATCCTCAATTTTCGTCTCCAAACAAGAAATCATTTACTTTTTTCAAAACCAAAATACTTGACTTAAGCGCAGCCGCTATTTCAGCAGAGATAATTATCCCAAGTTTATTTTTGCTGTTGTTGTCTGAAAACCCAGAAAGGTGAAGTGACAGGAGACGAGAGTTGTACAGTTGGTACGGGCTGACAGGCGCTGTGGATTGTGGCTCAGGTACTTGTGTTGAAATGTCAGTTCTGTCAGCTAAGGCAGTGAGGTGTTTCCATTCTCTAATGAGACTGAAAGTACATTTAGAAACTGAAAGAACAAAAATGATGTATCTGTTGTTGGCAGGATGCAGCTGCATTAATACACAGGACAACGTTGATGATAAGTGGTTTTAGTATTTTCATACAGCACATGTTCTCCTTCATCTTTACCTTTAGCTATGTGGGCCTTAAATGTGGGCACAGTCAGCTCATACATGCCCTGTTTGGGCTCAGGGGCTTTAGGAGGCTCCTGTTCACTCTCAGGTTCCTGAAAGATACACAAGAATAAAACAAATATGAACATTAAGGGTTTTTTTGTGCTGTAAGGGGCACCACTTTATAATCTTATAACTACACAAACAAAACTCACTGAAGGCTCCTCCTGGAGTGTCTTGAGCATCCAGGTCTCCAGAGACTGGAGGTCTCTGGAACCCTGGTACTTAACTGCCTCCTGGTCTGGCCTGAACAACTTCAGCCTAAACACAACACAAGCAAAAGTTCAGACAAGGATGAATAGTGACTTCTGATCCAAGTCTAACGCTTCACAAGAAAGGTAACTCCAAGCCAATGACCTAAGAATAAACTGGCTGTTTTCAAACACATTCAATCATCACTACAAGCTCGAGAAACCGTAAACTATGGTCATGTTATTTCTGTCATTCATTAACTTGAGACTGCTGTGTTTGCAGGTATAAATTGTAGTCAGCAATAGCCAAGATTGAAGAGGATGTCATTAAGATATAGCCAGTGTATTTGACTTAATGCAGGTCAATGTGTCACCTGTCTGTCAATCAGTAACGACAAGAACTACTTACTGCAGTAAATGCAAGATTTTATTGGAGACGTCAAAGTTAATCGTCAAACTCAAAAATAGATGTGACAAATACTTACGTGGGGTAGCCCCTAACCCCGTGGTTAATAGAGCAAAACTTTGTGTCCTGCACGCAGTCAACTTTAACCACATACACGGGTGGGTCATCCATGCCGTTGTACTTGTCTGCTAGTTCATTCCAAGCAGGTTGTAACCTCTGGCAATGGCCACACCTGGACAAAACAATGGGACAAATGACAGCCTGTGCACCATGCATATGTTCACAAAACTTAACTTAAGTTTCTTCACAGTCCTCTGCATGATCAAAAAGATAAAAGCAAAATGAACATGCTTCCCTTTTACTTTTTCAGTTAAGTTTTGTGTTAGTTGCTAAAAGTTAGACTTTTCATTTATGTTGTTTTTATCCATAAGTAAGAGTAGCTTTTACTTTTGTACATGTAGCCCCTAATAAATACAAATGATGGGACACGAAAGACAAATGAGGACAGGTCTCTGTTATAACAGAAATAAAGCTGGTAAAAATGTGTGTTTTTAAACAGGCAGTGGAAGCAACTCAGAAGCTACATAGTCCAAAAGATCATCATAAATATAAGTGTGTGGCAAAGGTTTGGTGCTAGAAATAAGAAAGTTAAATATAACAAAGAAAAGATAAACTTTTGATCTTATCTTCACACGAAATGTCTGTAAAATATCTCAATATTTTCGTTACTATCAGTTTTCATCTGGTGATAACTTCATTGAATGATCTATTAAAACAATTCAAAAAGCTTCTTGAAGAAACTCCAGTGGTCCATGAACCTCTGACGTCATTCAATCAGTGCGTGCCACGTAAGCACGGCTCCTAAATCTACAACTTTGATTCAGTGTTTCTGCACAAACTGTGAATAGGATAAGTGTAGTTAGCTATTTAATAGTAAAAGATTCATCCAGAGCTCACTCGAGAAGTTGCAAATTAAACTTTAAGAGGTAGCAAAGGGCTTGCACAGAGGCCCCATGAACTGCTGAACTGCAGCCGGCATAACTCTTTGGCTATGCTAGTTAGCATCTGAGCTAATCACACAGGTTGACTCAAAGCAAGCGGCTAGCTAGCCTTATAGCTCCACTGCTACCTAGCTGCTTTGCTAATTTTGCCGGTTAACTCTTCTCAAAATGTAATGAATATGTCATTTGATATTTTCTGTGACATGCTGGTTGACAGAGAAAACAACAAGCGTCCTCTAAATAAAACTTAACTTACCATGGGGCATAAAACATGACAAAGTGGGGTGCAGTGGGCACCGCCTCGTTGAACATTTCCACCGTGTACGAGTGCTTGGCATGCTCATCTTCTTCTTCATCAGTGTCGCAAAATACGGTGGCAAACAGTAACGATAAATAAATAAAACACAACAAAAAGTGTGTGCAATTCAGTGCTGAAGCCATGGTGAGTGTCTCTCAGTGGGTGAACAGTGTCCCTGCTGGTGTGAAGACACTCTGAATGTACACGCCCCTCTGGAAGCTTTACTGTAGAGACATAGAGAGTGTGGATAGGATACATGCACATGGGGACTGTTGTTACTGCAACTGAGCATTCAGGATGGGTGTTGTTTAGATCTGTGAGAGCCCCACAGTCCTTCTACAACTCAATCCAACCTGACAGGTTCAAACAAGTGCCATTCTTAAAGTATGGAAGCCCAGTTCTTAAATGAGGCTTTGCTGGGAGGTAGAAATGGACAAATACTACAGCTTGAGAAATAAGATAGTCATGTGTTTTTTCTCAATGGTTGCTGCATCCTATATGTGGTTCTGCATGTTTGAGATAGATACAATTGCAGACTATAAATATTAAGGAGCAAAAAAATTGTTGATAACAGTTTTAAATGATTAAAAATGACAAATGTAGGGGCGCTGGTGGTGCAGTGGTTAGTGTGTGCGTCCCATGTATGGAAGCCGTAGTCTTCCAAGCAGGCGGCCCGGGTTCAAATCCAGCCCGTGGCTCCCTTCCTGCATGTCACTCCCCACTCTCTCTCTCTCTCTCTCTGATTTCCAACTCTATCCAGTGTCCTGTCTCTCCAATGAAGGCACAAAAAGCCCAAAAATAAAACTTTAAAAAAAAAAGAAAGACAAATGTAAGCTGAATTAATAAAATGGGTTATTGATGTTTAATGGGAAATAAGGCTAAACCATTTAGTTAAATGATGTTTTTCTATTTAAATAAACTGTACCAACATCCCAACTCAGTAAAATAATAATGTTTACAGTCCATGTAAAATACTTAACTTTTAACCAGTTGTGATACCACTTGAATGTCATAATTGTTTCCTGTTTTCAAAGTTTTCATTCAATCTGAACCCTGAGTCTAACAATAAGGAGAGTCTACAAATTGATTTGTTCTTAATACTTCAAGACTTCTGAAATAGAAATTGGTCCATTGTTTTTAACTCAAGATATCTTCCTTATCCCAGAGATTTTAGCTCAACATTAAAAGGCTACATCATTCAAATTGTTAAACAAAATGGCATAGCTGTGCCTGTCTCATCACCTTTTATATGAGATGAGAGATGATGAGATGAGATTCAACTTTATTGTCATTACACATATACAAGTATAGAGTAACGAAATGAGGTTTGGCATCTCACCAGAAGTGGTTTATCAAAGTTTATCATTAGTTTATCAACTTTAACTTTACAAGGTGAACAGTTGTGCAACATATAAGGTGATAATGTGAAATATCACTTCCAATTCTTCTGACTACTCAAAGCGCTTTTTCATCACAGGTCACACCTATCACCCATTCAAAGTTTCCATAAGTATTAACTTATCCCATTCATACACATTCATACGCTGCCAACGAAGCAGCAGGAGCAACTTGGGGTAAAGTGTCTTGCCCAAGGACATGCCAGACATGGGGATCAAACCCCTGACCATCGGGTGGAGAGACAACCTCTACCTGCCCCTGATGGTATACGAAAGAGAACCCAATTAAATCTTTCAAGGGATCTTGCAAAGAAAATTATAAAAGAAAAGACAAACAGGCTCCCTGTGAAAAGCCCATCTGTTCTCAGGTGAGCACAGTTGCGGGAACATACAATGAAAAATGAATCAATCTGTAATCTGTGGCACACTGAAAATGACTTACTTGCTGTTAATTTGTGAGGGAACAACGCGTTTAGCCTGTAGAATCCTCAGCATAATCATAGGACAGACACAGGTCTAGTAAATACAAATGATCCCATAAACAATAATCATCACAATAAACATTACTCCGGATCACAGCCTAGAATTAAAACTATAAGCATGTAAATTAAGTTGCATTTAAGAGGGGTTTCCTTCGCTAGAGTAAGGTAAAGCCATATTAATTGATTATTATTGATCAGGTAAGTCTGCTTGACTGCGTTACTTTGGCTGGTAGTCAAAGTGTTCCTCTCACCTAACGTAGTTTTTCAAGAACAAACATTGGCTAATAAAATACCTTATCGTATAAAACTAAAAACTTCAACTCCCATAAAAAAGATGACATATAATTTCAACAAAAAGGCTCAGGATTGAGAGAACAGAAAGTGAAGCTTGCTTAAACTCTTACATGAGAACCAGAGTGCAGGGGTCAAATCAAGGCTTCTTCAGATGGCAGATGGATTGTTGGTTTTCAGTATCAGAATCAAAAAGTACATTTACACATACAAGGAATTTGACTTGGTGTATTGGTGCTAAACAATTAACAAGGAAATGAAGCAGAACTAGCAACAACTTAAATAATACAGTAGAAGAAGCTATTACAATATATACAATAAAATTTAAAAATGTAAAAAATAAAAAATAAAAAATAAAAAGGACAAAATAAAAAAGACAAAATAAAAAAGACAAAATAAAAAAGACAAAATGTACAAAAGGTGCAATGTAGGAGCTGTGAAGTGGACTATGAGAAAAAATCTTAAAAAATGTTCTACACCGATGGTCAGATATGAGTCACAGTTGCCCCCTCAATGATGGAAACATATGTTTAAGAGTGAGAGATTTTTGGAATCATAATGAATCCAGTTTATTACATTTGGTCAATAGTGCCTATCATGGGGCCTTTAGCTATGTGTAATAGCTGACAGTGGGTATAAATCATGTGTGAGTGTGTCAGTGTGTGTCTGTTCCCACCTGCTGGCTGCATGAATTGACACCTCTTTGGCAAGTCCTTCCTTCTACTCTTTTCATCACATTTAATAAAGTCATGATTTCATGAAACCATAAAGAGACAGCCTTGGCTGCAGTATTTCTTTTAAATCATCCATCTCCGTCCTTTCATCCAGACAACAGGAAGAGTGGGAAGAGGAAAGGAAGGGTTTAGAGAATGGAAACTGTCAGAGGGGCGACTGGAGTGGCACTAACACAGTATATAACACTGTTCCAGACCGCCCCAGCTCTTAAATAAAACCAGGTCTTCTTGAATATCTATATGCTAAAAGAAGGTGAAAATGATCCTACCATGCACAGTCAGTGTCTGGACTAGATATAGGATACAGGCTGAGATCTTTATATAGGTCTAGTATTGGGAATGTCAGGATGTCAGCATTATTTAGTCAAGCACATAGTCCTGTTTTTGCTTTAAGAGTCATTAAAACACACACAGTTTATTCTGTCAAAAATAAATGTAACCATTCAATAAAAAAAGAATATACTTGTGAGGGACTCCTTCACAAAAATTGACGATAATGCCACATTGACATCATGGCTGAAAAGAGGGGGAACTATAACCAAGTGTAAAATCTCAAACATTACTTCTCTGAAAAATGTGAAAGTCTTACCTTTGCGTCTGTGATCTAACTTGCACAGAGCTAGGGTCAAAGGGTCAGCAGTCTCCAAAGTCTCCAAAGACTTTAAGAGGGCCTGAGACTTCTGACAGTTCCTCAAACTTAAACTGTTTTTTTTCTTTCCAAAGCAAGAATGCACATATGGATTACAACACATTTTCCTGTTCATTGCTTTTAAGCAATGTGAACTTTTCGCCGGACTTTCATTTTTTGAAATCGTAATGGACACCTATGAAACATGTCGAGATATTTGCTTAAAAAAAGGGTTTCAAATTAGAGGATGATAAATACAAGGTCATGTACAATGTCATGAACAATGGCAAACTGCCATTTTTAGGCTTTTTTTGGATTCAACTTACACAATATTTTAAGTAATAAGCTTCACACATACTGATAAGAGCATTCAGTTTAGTTTTCTTTAGTTTCCCCTGTTTCCAAAAATGATAAGCAAAGAAATCGGTTTTCTGGCTACAGCATTGTTTTTATACACAAACATTAAAGTTGCATTTTTTTACAGTGGCTATAGAACTGATGAGTATATTCCCTAAGGTGTCACACAGGAGCTTTAAATCTAACTCTGAGTGATTTATACATTCTCACATAAATATCATTTAAGATAGGCATTTCTCTCAGCATGTCTTTTCTTTAAATAAGTTAACCACCTCTTGTGTGCACCACTAAGGTTAAGAACATACTTTGGGTTTTGACTTTTTGAGCTTACTCTGTTTCACATCAAAGATAGTTTGTCTCAAATGTTATGACTGATACAATCCTATTTCTGCTCAGATATAGGCCACTGTGCTGACATGGAAAAAGTAATCAGTAAGAGAACTACCACCCACTAAAGTTTATTTGAGCCATTTTATCAAACTGTGGCTTTGACATTGACTTGACTTTGACTCGTGACCCACAGCATTGTTAGACTCCCACCACAGCTCACTGAGTGAAAAACAAATTCCTTTATGGTTAATTTGAGGTGAATAATGATATATGAGATTATTTGTCTTGACTTTTGAATAACTTCTACACACATGCCCAGCTGTCCCAAAGGGGCTCTATTGTTACCATGGCAGGCCAATAACCACACATCACTATTTAATCTCAGCACGTCAAAAAGCTATGGTAAATATGACCAAATTACTGCTGACACATTTTACTTTTGGCCCGCTGAAGTGGGGGCTGCATAGTTGTGGATGTCTACGGGTTACCCATTGTTGAGGGCCAGGCACCTTGCCAAGCCAGCTCCAGCATGGAGTAATAGGAAAAAGAAAGATTAATGGGCCCTGGGGACCTGAGGACATTCTGTTTATTTTCTCAATTGCCTCAAGTTAGTGGCTGTGAGTGCAAGAGTCGGCAGGTGGGTTGAAAGTGAAAACTGAGAGAGTGAATAACAGAGAGGATCAGTGTGAGAGGTTAAAAACATGCTACTTTTTCTTTTTAGATTTAGATTTATTTTTGGGCTTTTTGTGCCTCTAATGGAGAGACAGGACAGTGGATAGAGCCGGAAATCGTGGAGAGAGAGTTGGGAAGGACATGCGGGAAAGGAGCCACAGGTGGGATTCGAACCTAGGCCGTCCGCTTTAGACTGGTCAAAAATGTCTCCCTCTTTTTTGATGGCTGTTCACTAATGATTCTGGTTCTGGTTGACGTTTCTGCCTGTTTGAAGGAAGTTTTTTCCATGCCACTGTTGCCACTGTTGGT